TTTCATTATTCACAACTTGCCAGAATATTGCTTTTCTTGCTTGTCTTTTTGAAACATTATTTTCTGTTGAATAATTTCCAACCATCAATTTGAATTCTTGAGAATTTAATTTCACTTCAACCTTTGAGTTTTCAGCTTTTTCAAAAGGTTTGTTTGATTTTTCACCTTTAACCACCCATATTTGTAATGATTTTTGTTTTTGAAACACATAAGTATTTTGAGTTAAATTGTTTTCTACTGTGTTTTGATTCGCGAAGAAACCTTCAGGTGTAGACTTTTGATTATCTTTTTCAATCATTTTATTGAACTCAGGATGAACTTTCTCAGCATTTCCAGTAGTGACAAAAACTTGATTTGGAAAAATAGTTTTATCAGTACATACAAAATTTGGATATACCACTGTGTTGGTTTCCAAATAATGTGCGCCTTTGTCATTTAAAACTTTGTCAAATTCTTTTGTGTTTTCAAACACTTGATCAACCACAACCCTTTGATGTGTTTCAGTTGAATTTTTCTGTTCTTCTTTATTTTCATTAGTATCATCAGATTTCCAGCTTTCAACTTCCACATTATCAAACTTACAATGTTGCGAAGTTGAAGATTTATCAACTTTATCCTCTACTATTGAATCAACTATTATTTCTTTACCTTTGATCTTAGATGTGATATTAATGATCGACAATTGAGAACAATCAATCTCTTCTTCTTCTTCTATTTCACTGATTTCACTCACATTATCAGAATTTTCATCAATATCAGCATAATTGAATTGTGAAGTAAGAGTTGAATTTTCGGTTTTCTTTAAGATTTTCACTTGTTCACTTTTTGTCAAACTTTCATTTACAATGTCAACCAACTCATCAGCATTCAGAAATTCATCAATTTTGACAATACCATATGAATATCTATCATCAGGTATTTTGTCAAACTGAGCAATTGTACTTTCGCAATCATAAGAAACAACATCAACTTTTTCACGCTCATACTCAAGAAAAGGTAAAAGTTTCCTATGTTGTTCTTTGCTAATATCAGAAGAATGATGTAAAGCTGTTAATTTTGCATACAATCTTTTTGCTGAATTACAATATATGTTTCTTTGTGCTAGTAACAACCTAACATCATTAGAAAGATTATTCCTATCACAATCTATATTTTTGACTTGCATTTCTAATTTTTCAACTCTGCTCTTCTTTATTTCTAAATCTCTTCGTGTCTCACTAAGTTGCACATTTAATTTCTTAGCTTCATTACTAGCAGACACAATAACAGAATCAAAATAAGCCACAGTATCATCAAACGAAACAATTTCAGCATCATAAGCAGATAAAGGAATATTAAAAGATTCAAGAATTGCACGTACCTTGGTTGTCATGGGAGACTTGTCAGTGGATTTAGACATAAAACATTTCCCTGAAATGTTCTCTTCGCAATCCTCAAAACTTGCGAACATTGCTCCATGTGTGGGATGCCTCATTTCTTCATCATCAGATCCTGAAGACCAGATCTGATAAGTTCCACTTTCTTCTTCATCAGATTCTCCCTTAGCAACCAAAGACACTCCTTTGTTCTTTGCACGTAATTCTTCAATCTTTTCAGAATAGTAAGCTTCATATTTGACTTTTTCTTTCTTTTCTGCTTTCTTTCGCAACATGCAATCAGCTGCGAAATGATTCGCACCATTGCAATAGTGACAGTAAATTCCTGAATCACCCTTCAACTTTTTCTCTTCATTCGCATTTTTCTGTTTTCCATCTATTTTCTCCATTTTCTTCTTCTCTTCTCCTCCAGTTCTTGTTACATCATTTTTCACATCACTATTCTTTCCTTTTGGATTAAAAGGCTTTTTGAAAAACTTTTTAACTCTGTTGTTTGAATAGTATGCTACTGCTTCATCATCGGAGTTCATCAAAAATCCTTCTACATCTGAACCATCTTTTTCATCAGTTTCTGATACTTTTGAAACAAGAGCCAAAGGACCACCAATAGCTTGTTTTGATTCTTCATACATTTCTGTGACCTCACATTCATGTGTTTTCAGTTGATTGTAAAGATCATTCAATGTAGTTGTATCAAAACATTGTTGATTCTTAATCATCATGCTCACACCTCGCCATTCCTTGCGAAGACTCATAATGAAAGTTAAATTGAACTCCATGATAGATCTAGTAATACCATACCTATTGCAGCGAAACATAAGCTCATTCAGACGATCATAACAACTTTCGAGAGTTTTTTGTATCCTTTTGTCTGAATTCCTTCAGTTCAACTAAGCATTGCTTCACGGAGTTGATCTTCGTCTTTTCACTACCTTGATATTTTTCTTTTAGAGTATTCCAGATCTCTTTTGCTGTTTTACAACTACGAATGTAATTGTAAACTATAGGAGGTAGAGCACCTCTTAGTTCTCTCATGCATCCCTTTTCATTTTTCTTCAATCGATTTCGTTGTTCTTCAACATCAGTAGATGCAGTGGATGGTCCAATTGGTTGAACATTAGCAGGAGCTAGTACTGTTCCATCGATACACTTCCAGAGTTCTTCATCAATTCCATTTAAGTAATCTTCCATTCTATCAGCCCACTGATCATAGTATTCTGGAATTAACATCGGAATTTTGGTTGAGGAACCAAGCAAGTGAGAGAAAGAAGTCATTGAATTCATGTTGAAGTTCGCCATTGATGAACACAGAAAATATCTGAAAACTTGAAACCTTGATGAATTTCAGAATTTATCAAATGAATTGATCACAAATCACTAATCGATTACTCGACTTAACAATTCAAATGCAGAATCAATTCAAATCTGAAGATCAAAAGTGATTTTCAAAAACCAAAAATGTGCGGAAAATTTTGAGTAAATTTGTAACTCAAAAAACAAATGATTCTTATACGAAAATCAGATCTAAGCAGTTTGAATCCTGCTCTGATACCAATTGATGAGAATTGTTATCGAGAATTTAGAAAAGAAAAGATAGATTTGAACGATTTAAGATGAAGAACATAGAGAGTAAATATTAATCAGATCTCATATTGATTAAGACTGATTACAAAGTTAAGCAGAAGTGAGTTCAAGCATCGTCCTACAACTTCTAGCCTAAGTCCCTATTTATAGGGAACGAACAAAAAATATACTAAGTCTATACATTTTAACTTCGCACAAAAGATGACTTAGTAAAATAACATAAAATGCGAAACTATACAAAACACTCTATTCGACTTTTACAATATACATCAACACCTAACCTGTATTATATCATTATTTAGTCTATGTGCAATTTATATTAGTTCTAATTGCATTAAATGATCGTTGACACTAAAATCATCAACACAATGTTAAATGATCCTTTTTTCCCCATGCGTTTCATCATCATCTTCTTCTTCTTGGCATAACGCTTAGTGACTCCTGGTAATGTTATGGTTTTTTCCAAAATATAATTGCACATCAAATCTTTGATTTTAGGATGACGATTATGTTAATATAAATAACAATAATATTAAATGATAAGCTGTTTTTAATAATAATAATAATAATAATAATAATAATAAAATGAAAGAGTCATGCATCCTTGACTTAATGGACTTGATATGTATCTTGTGCAAGACTTTTGAATTTCTTATTTTGCAAGTTGCAACACGTAGCTATTTAAATCTAACGTAAAACAAATATGAACAACAGTAAAAAAAAAAAAAAATTAACATGGTTACCTACTTTTGATTTGACTTTACTCTTCAAATTTAGGTGGAATAGTGTTTAGTTAAAATACATCAATATTACGTATGTCATAATTAAATGTCTCAAAAGAGATCTCGAGTTTAATATTCTTATCACTATCGCCAATTAAATTGAACCCAATATAATGATTTCACTAAAGTATTCTTGAACCATATAATAACCATATTTAACACCTAATGAGTTGAAAACGAAACCTAATACATATCCTTATTAACTCCCACCCCTTCCCACGAGGGAGTAGTCTTGGCATAAATCGATACAACCCGTTAATTCAAACCGAATCGAACCCAAAAATAGCGGGCTGAGTTGAGATTTTTAATTCATTTAAGTTAAATATGTCAACTTGTCAAAACCATTTAATTAAATAGGTTGGACTGAATAAAAATTATCAATCCGTTTTCAAAATGGCAACCAATTTAACTTTAATATATGTTTAATTTAATAGTTATTTGAATATTATCATATATTAATCAAAGTATTAATTTATAAATTATAATGTTGTATTATTATTTATGTTTAAAGAAATGTAATCTTAATTCTCATCCTTTTTCTTAACGTAAATAATACTAGTTACTGTTTAAAATATCTTTAAAATAAAACATTTTTAAGGTTATTCAAATAATTTATTTGTATTTTTGAATTGAGATTGTGCTTTTCTCATACTCTGAAATTTATTTCAATTTCAAAATTATTTAAGTAGCATAATATTTAGTTAATTTTATTATTTTAAATGGGTTAATCCAAGTTTAACTCATTTATTTCAATACATTGGGTTGGGAACTACATAAATAGGTTAACTCGGTGACACCTTATTTATCTAAAATTTCAACCAATTTAATAAATGGAGTGAACTCCAACCCAACTCAAGTCAACCCATTGACATCTCTACGAGGGAGGGGTGTCTCGACCATTGTTTCTATTTTTATTTTCAATGGGACTGGTTGATTGGAAATAGAGTAAAGAGTGATGGTCAAATGTAAGGGAATATTAAGGGTACTATTGGTCATTTCTTCTTGCGCTTCATGTAAGAGAAGCATGTTTTGGCTTCTTCTAGAAAGGAGGGAAAATTTTTGGTGTTACCAGTAATATCGACTATGATATGGTAAGAGAAGGGTAGTTGTCGAAGGGTTTGCATAACTATTCAATTTCAGGTGATAGAGAATTAACATCTGAGAGGGCATCAACAAGGTTTTTAAGAGAGTAACAGCATTTGGTAATGGACTAAGACCCTTTTTTGGTGTTATGAAATTGGTATTGAAGTTGCAAAATATGGGTCATCTGGTTGTAAAGGTAAAATTCATATAGTTTGTCCTAAAGGTGTCTGGAAGTGCAATTATCACCAAATATGATTTGGAGTATGTTTGAGTCATACATTGAATAAATAAAATGAATTAATAGAAGAATCAACTGCTTCCTAATCTTCATCAATATCACCTATATGAGTGAGAATTTACTGGTAGTATAACCTAATACTTTAATGCCTTTGCGCATGTCAAGAAAAATCGATCACCACATTTTGTATTTAGAGCTGTCAATATTTTTCATTGTAATGTTTTTACTTGAAAATTACATAGACGTAGCGGGTAACGAAAACAAACTATGCCGCAACCATTTTTTGGATGGCAAAACTAATTCTTTTAAACATATGTAAAAGCATACACAAGTTGAGTGGAGGAGATGTTGACAATTGAGGAATTACAGAAAAGACCTTACATTATATATAAATATAATAACTAAATAAAACAATACATTAAACACTTTAACACTAACAATGACTAACCATGTTTTTGGATTTATAATTATCATAAATTGGTTACCGTTTAAAAACAAAGTTGTCAAAATCGAAATCTTATATAAGATCGTTTTTTGCTTTGCAAGATCGTGATCGTAAGATCGAATCAAATCATAAGATCCTACTAAAAACATTTTAAAATATAAAAAGTACATTTTCATATATCTAACCATTTAATTAACAATAAATAGTTTAAAACATAAAAATAAATATCCAATACATCATTTAGTCATTAGTGATTCAAAAGGGTTATTCTATGTAGTTATTTCAATAAATAAAATATGGAAAATCTTCAGAAAAATCCTAAAATTTTAGTCTAATTTATGATAAAGTTTGAAACTAAATTTTGTTTATAGAAAAGCACAGAATATCGGTTAAAACTTCGAAAAAAACCATTTTCAGCCGGTTTCGCATATTTAGTCAATATTTTTTCCTTTTTCGTTAGTTTGCTCAAAATTTTGGATTTTTCCTGAAATTACCTGATAACCAAAATATTGAGATTTTTCTGAAAATTATCATGTAATTAATGGATATTATTATTAATAAATCATTTATAAACATAACGAATATTTTTTATAAAACAAGGAAATATACTTGTTGCTAATTTCTAGGAATAAATTGGTGGTCTAAGTACTCATCTATTGCTTATTGACCACATCGATTTCTCTACGTTTCTCATATGCATCGTTGTGTATATGATGGTGAGATGTACTCAGTGAGTGTTCCTCTAATATTGTTTAACCTAACTATCAACCAACATCTATACCTCACATGGTAACAACCCTAGGCTAACACGTATCTATCAATGTGAAAAAAGTGAATCGTGAATGATAGTTTATATGGAAACAAGTGCATGGTGATTATCTATTTAAATTGTCATTCACAGTTTACTTTTCACTATGTGTGTAATTCGATGGTTGTTACCGAGTAATATATATAGGTAGCATTTTGGTTAAAGAACATAATGAACGATATATATGTTCAAGAATCATTTTGTAATGGTATTTTCTAATAAAATGTGACCCTATAGCGTCACGCCTAATAGCAAGTAGACACTTATTGATTGTGTATTAATAAATATTATCAACTATTGTATTTAATTGAAGAAACATATAAAGTACATCTCACTATGACACCCACACCGATACATAGGAGGAACATAGGGAGTTTGAAGTAGTCAACAAACAATATAGGAATACCTAGTCATCCATTCCATTCCTAGAAATTTGAAACAATTGTATTTGTTTATAATGAAAAAAATATTTGTTATGTTTATAAATGATTTGTTAATAATAATATTCATTAATTCTATAGTAACTTTCAGAAACGTCCTAATATTTTGGTTGTTGGGCAATTTTCAAAAAAGTTTTAATGTTTTGAGCAAACTAACGAAAAATGATAGAATACCAGCTAAATCTACGAAACCAGCCAAAAAGTGTTTTTTCGAAGTTTTAACTGATATTTTGTGCTTTTCTATAAACAAAATTAATTTTGGATTTTTCATAATTTAAACTAAAATTTTAGGACTTTTTTTTTGGAGATTTCCCACTAAAATATTATAATAATAAGTTTTTATAAAAACCTATAATGATCCTACCATCGTAAGATCGATTTTATGATCTTACGATCCTACCGCGATCTTATCGAAAAACAATCATAGTAAGATCAGAGTCGATTTACCTAGGCGGGATCGTAGGACCTTTTGATCACGATCATGATTTTAATAACTTTGCTTAAAACATTAACCAATAAATAATTATTACCTAAAACAACTTAAGTTATAATACATAATAAGACGATGAACTCTTTGGAATTTAGTCATATAATGTATTAATCTTGAATTCTTGATGACGTTCTCAAGCCACTAGAAAGAATTTGAATGCTCCAGAGGTTAGTAATACTACCATATAATAATTGTAAGTAACCACTTGTATACCAACATGATTGTTATAACCGTTTAAAAAGAGTAATAAGGTTTTAATTTTTTTTCACATTAGATCCTTAAGATCTTTTTTATACATGTTACATCAACATAGTTGTTATAACTGTTTAATAATAATATTCATTAATTCTATAGTAACTTTCAGAAACATCCTAATATTTTGGTTGTTGGGCAATTTTCAAAAAAGTCTTAATGTTTTGAGCAAACTAACGAAAAATGATAGAATACCAGCTAAATCTACGAAACCAGCCAAAAAGTGTTTTTTCGAAGTTTTAACCGATATTTTGTGCTTTTCTATAAACAAAATTTAATTTTTGATTTTTCATAATTTAAACTAAAATTTTAGGACTATTTTTTGGAGATTTCCCACTAAAATATTATAATAAAAAGTATTTAAAAAAACCTATAATGATCCTACCATCGTAAGATCGATTTTATGATCTTACGATCCTACCGCGATCTTATCGAAAAACAATCATAGTAAGATCAGAGTCGATTTGCCTAGGCGGGATCGTAGGACCTTTTGATCACGATCATGATTTTAATAACTTTGCTTAAAACATTAACCAATAAATAATTATTACCTAAAACAACTTAAGTTATAATACATAATAAGACGATGAACTCTTTGGAATTTAGTCATATAATGTATTAATCTTGAATTCTTGATGACGTTCTCAAGCCACTAGAAAGAATTTGAATGCTCCAGAGGTTAGTAATACTACCATATAATAATTGTAAGTAACCACTTGTATACCAACATGATTGTTATAACCGTTTAAAAAGAGTAATAAGGTTTTAATTTTTTTTCACATTAGATCCTTAAGATCTTTTTTATACATGTTACATCAACATAGTTGTTATAACTGTTTAAAGTGGGTAATAAGTTTTAATTTTGTCCACATTAGGTCCTTATGTTTAATATTTTTATCATTTCATGTAAGTTTTTTAAAATTTATAGTAGTATCTAGTTAGATAGCTTCATCATTTCGTCTTCTCATTTTAGTCGCTCATTCACTACAACCAACAGGCATCAACACTAAAATACACACACACACGATACACATACACAACACATCCACAGTCACCTTCTTAGCGGCAACGACGACCTGAGGAGATCTGCAAAATGGGCAGCCGCAAGGAGCGACGTCGACGGTGGTAGGATGCGAGCTAGCTGTTGTGGAACAGAATAGAAGCGGAAAGGAGAGGGGCGATTGCAATGTCATCCTCGTCTTCACCGGTGACAAGAGCACCGGTGGTCCAAGCAACAACAAGGGAGAAGGCGGCGGCAACGGAACAGAAGTAAAAGAAAAAGGAGCTAATGCAGCGGGGAAAGTAGGCTACGCCTCCACCAGAACAGGACAACAGCGGCTACAAGCTTTGCTCTTTCGACTTCTCACTGCCACGACGTTGACTTGTTGGTCTCTGCTTATGTCGGCAGCAATAGTGGTGGTATCGACTCAGTGGTTACGCCCTCGATGGTGGAGGTAGTGGCGGCTGGAGGGGTGGAGGAACAAGGGTGGCGGTTACAAGGTCGTTTAGGGTTAGGGTTTGTGATGGGTAATGGTGCTTTTAAAACAAGAGGGAAGACACGGGTTTAAGTCCTGTGTTTTTCTTTCAACCTTTAATCCTATTTTACACTTTTGGTCCTTCCTCCATAGATTTATTTCAGGTTAGGTCCAAAGTTACAAAACATCCCCTGCTCTCCAAGAATCTTTACATTACAAGTCCAAATGTTAAACGTTAACCACCTGATTTCCAGAGTTTAATACATTTAAGTCCCGATAGCGAACACTCCTAACAACTTAATACCACTTTAGGGCTAAATTAAAATAATATATAAAATACATCTTGGGGTTTTAGGGCTCTTATTATTCATTTTATTTATTTAATTTTATTTAATTTAATTTAATTATTTTATTATGATTATTATTTATTTATTTTTAACAGAATGTTATAGTTTGTGAGCCATTGGAGATGCAACATTTGAGGCACTAAGCTTTCAAGATTCAAGGATCTACAAAGGAGTTCTTGTTATTACTACATAACAAGCAAGGTAATCATTGAAACCCTTTTGCTACATGATTTTCGAATAGTGTAGGCTATATCTAGGGTTTATTGCTTTGGTATTCAACTACATGTTCAACTAGTGAAAAACTTAGATCCAAAACAATTAGGGTTGCATGATCACATAGGATGTTGTTATGCTCAAAAGCCATCAAAGATTACACGTGGTATTTTGAAGCAGACTTCTGTGATCATTGGATCAATCAAGGAAGGGATTTTGGAGCTCTTGGATGGTCATCGCGGGGTCTTTTTGGTCGAGATTGTAGCGAGGAAAATCCGTTTTGTTTTTGTTGAAATCAAGTGGGCCACTAGCAGGCCGACTGTCAGATGTTGAGGGGTGAATTGGTAAGTGCATCTGCTCTGGTTTCTTTGAGGATCTATGATGGTCGTGAGGGTGGGGCAAGAGCCCAAGTTGGGAGGAGCCAAGGATTGTAGTGTCAGTCGGAGGAGGTCAAGACTACTCCAGGTGCTATTGCGAGTATGTTATTTTTTGTTTTCTTCTGGGTTGTTACTAGAAATTTGTATGGATTTGGAATTATGTTGGGTTTAGGGTAAGCCATATCTCGAGTTAGTTCACTGATATTGTCTGGGTTATATTATCAAGGTTTGTTATATGCCATTCTGGATGCCGAGAGTCCTTAATGAATCATTAGTGGGTTGCATCTTATTGATCGGGTTTCAGTGTTTTCAATTTTCATTCTGTTTGTTGATGGGATTAATTCATGGGCATTGTTTGGATGATCTATGATCAGGCTTAGCGAGTTAGTGAAGTGTTGATTCACTTGAGTATCAATATGAAATCAGAGTTAAGAAAATATTTAGAACACCGTATCTAAATATAATCTGGTTGGCTCAATATATTGCTTTCAGAGAATACAAGAGGTTACAAAAAGATTACAATCAGAGAGAAAAAGTTAACCCCTAAGACATGTATCCGTCCCATATTTATAGGGATAAAGAAAGCAAACAAAAAATATAAGGGACTCAACACTATAGCTTTGAAACTAAAATTCCCTTATAATAAATTTACAAACATACATTTGACACTCAGAACGACCTAGACACATTCGACATTTCACAAAAACATTCGACCCCAACATTCTCCCCTTTGTGAGAAATGTCAAATCTAAGTCGTTAGCATCAAATCAGCTTGGTGAATAACCCTTCAAATCTCAACATACCAATTGACCACTTTTCGAATTTCAGCCTTTTCATAATCATTGTTCTTAGCACAGCTGTTCATTCGAACCATGAGATTTTTATTTAGTGTTGTTTCCCTTCTTATTTTTTTCCCAATAAACACTATTCCAAGTGGTTTCAAACAGATCTCACCATCTTCAAAATCTTTCAACCTTCCCTGAATATTCAACATAGATCGAGGAACATTGATTTGTTTTTCTAATGCTTGAGCTAATTCAACATCTGTTAGAGCCAATGAACTATTATAACCATCAATGAATACCTTCAAGTGTGAGAATCCAATTAAGAAGTCTTCTTTGTTTGTTATTTGTAGCTTCGAGACATCAACACTCTTCAAAATATTCGCAACACATAGTAGATCATGAAGGTTCATTATAGGGAAGTCAGCAACCGAGAAATCAATTCCAACATTGTTGGCTCGGACTGCATGATATCGGTAATTCTGCAACATACCCTTGAACAAAACATCTTTGGATATGTTGAGAACACGAACTATCTTGACAAAAGACCATACTTCCTCCTCCCTTTTCCTTATATTCTGCAAACATTTCCCTATGTAGGGTTTCTCATTTCTTCGTCATCAGAACCAGAGGAACAAATTTGGTAGGTTCGATCTTCATCATCCAAAACCTTGGCTACTATAGATATTTCCTTTCTCTTAGCTCTGACTTCCTCAAGCCTGTCCACATAATAGGCTTCGTCCTTAACCCTGTTCTTCTTTTTATCTTTCTTCCTTAGCATATAATCACTTGACATATGGTTCGCTCCATTTTAGTAATGGCTGTCAAATCCAGAGTCTCTTTTGAGCTTTTTCTCAACCTTCATTTCTTCACTCTTTACTTCCTTCTTCTTTATTTTCTTCTCTTCATTTACCTTCCCAGAAAAACTTCCATTTGCATCACCGGCTCTTGACTTCACATTAAAAGGCTTTTTATCGAACTTATTTAATCGATTGTTTGAATAAAAAGCAGCAGCTTCGTCAGTAGAGTTGAGAATCAAACCTTCTTCTTCCAAATCTTCCTTCTCAGTCACTTTTTTCTCAATCTCTCTTCCATACACCTTCGACACAATAGCAAGTGGAACACCCAGACCGACTCTTGTTTCATCAACTATCTCATTCACTTCTGATTCATGTGTTTTCAACACATTATAGAGATCATTTAGTGAAAAATAGTCGAAACTTTGTTGTGTCTTTACCATTAGACTGACATTTCGCCACTCTTTACAAAGCCCCATGATGAATGTTAGATTCAACTCCATTATTGACCTTGTGATTCCATATCTATTACACTTGAATATTAATTCATTCAGATGGTCATAGTACAATTCAATAGATTCTCCTTCTTTCTACTTAAACTCTCTTAATTCTAGCAGGCAATGTTTGACTGAACTGATTTTTGTCTTCTCACTACCCTGATACTTCTCCTTCAAGGTGTTCTAGATTTCCTTTAAAGTTGTGTAGCTACAAACATAATTGTATATGACTGGTGGAAGAGCACCTCTAAGTTCTCGCATACATCTCTTTTCATTCTTCAGTAATTTTTCAGATAGTTCATTAACTTTTGAATTTGTAACAGAAGTTCCAATACTGCAAACAGTAGAAGGAGCATAAACATCATCAGTGATACATTTCCATAGTTCCTCATCAATAACATTCAAGTAGCCTTCCATACGATCAGCCCATTGATCGTAATATTCAGGAATCAACATTGGAATCTTTGTTGATGATCCTAGAAGATGAGAAAAAGAGGTCATTGTGTTCATGTTAAAGTTTACCATTGTTGTACCGAAGATTTTTGAGAAAAGCTTCAGGAATTTGAAAATTGACGGATGAATCAACCAGAAAACAGAAATCGAACACTTGATTAAACAACCTAAATGCATAATCGAAATTGTAGAAACTTTTGAATCTAGAACGAGACTCAAAATACTTTTGAAATTAGAGAAAATCATATCAATGCAGAATGATTAATGCTCCGATACCAACTGAAGTGTTGATTCAATCGAGTATGAATATGAAATCAGAGTTAAGAAAAGATTTAGAACACCGAATCTAAATATAATCTGGTTGGCTCAATATATTGCTTTCAGAGAATACAAGAGCTTACAAAAAGAGTATAATCAGAGAGCAAAAGTTAACCCCTAAGACATGTATCCATCCCATATTTATAGGGATAAAGAAAGCAAACAAAAAATATAAGGGACTCGACACTATAGCTTCAAAACTAAAATGCCCTTATAATAAATTTACAAATAGACATTCGACACTCGGAAGGACCTAGAAACATTCGACATCTCACAAAAACATTCGACCCCAATAGTTAGTTCTCCAGTGAATTCAAGGTTCAATTTTTTATCTTTTGATTTGGTGACATCGACAGTCATCTATGGAAGAACTTTTGGGTTCAAACGCTATCGTTTCTAGGGAGGAGCAGTAGTAGGAAGATGGTGGTGGCAGTTGCATAAGTTGTTTAGTCGTGGGAAGTTCCAAGGGGAAAATTTATTTTTTTCTCATAGGTTGTTGATGGTTAAGATTTAGTAATTCTTTGTGGATGGTAAAGTGGGGTGAAGATTCCCCAGTTCTGAGAAAGGAGTATGATCTTTAGTTATTGGTAAAGGACTTCAGGGTTTGGCATCGTATCATTGGAGGTGATTGGAGTTATCGTACTTGCTAAGATTTCAGGGAATATTCTTCTAGATTTTAGGAGTTTGGCGATCATTTAGATTTGTTTGTATTGGTAAGTGTAGGTCATAGGCGGTTCATGCTATATAAGGTTTGACAGGTTTGGAATCCATCGGATTTATAGGATTATAGAGCTTCGTCGAATCAAGTGGAGGAGAATCCATCAGAATTTCAGGAGTTGGATCGGGTGTGGAACTAGGGAAAGTTTCACTTCCTAGCAAGGAAAAGAGATGACCCAAGTGGTCGTTTGGATTGAGTTTGTGTGAATGGCAGTTCAGGAAACTTCCAACAGTTGGTCGATGTCTTCTTTCTAGCAGGCTTGTGGATGAATCCACGTTGAAGGTTATGTTACAATCTCGCTTCCTGTTCTTGCTTGATGAAGGCTCTGAGGTTCGAAGCATGACACAAACACCTTATTGTAGTACAGTCAGTTGTGGGTTCGATTTCAGGATATTTGGAGTTGAGATGGTTTGGGTGTGGTAAGACCATGGGTGATAACCATGGTTGGGTAGAAGTGTTGTAAGATTGTGATGGGATAAGA